CTACTCGACGGAGCTGGACTGATGACAGTAATGCCTTCCTGCCATGTCTAAGCAGCACACTCTTCCTGTTCCACAGTCTCCTGAGTCTTTGCATGGCTTGAAAGCCGTGTAATATGGAGTTCTCAAAGGGCAGACTGCTGATACTATATTGAAATGAAATAAAAATCAAGAAATCAACGTGGAAGAAAAGCATCGAAAACAGGGAAAAAGAAAGAATTACTAGGTCATCCGATAAAGGAAAACTAAAGTAAAAATGTGTGATTTTTGCTTTAGAACTCGGCAAGTCGCCACCCAATCCCCATTTTAGAAACCAGAAGGAAACTGCGGCAAGTTAACTTTCGCGAAGACGTCTGGGACTTTTATTGAGGACAGAGATAAGAAATTGGCCTATAGCTGAATAGCGCGCCCCTGGTAACGATCTCAGAAATCTTTGCAAAAGCAGCCCAGTTTCTTTGTCGTTTATAAAGTGTCGCTGTCACATTGATATGGGCATCCCCATTCCAAAGACTCTACTGATATGGGCATCTCCTTTTCATATTACCTTAGCGTCCGGCGTTTTGGGATCCCCATTCCCAAAACTCTGGTAATATGGGCATCCCTTCTCATATTACCTTAGCGACTTGGGTTGCTGTTAGGGTTAAAGCTACAGGGGATGCCCATATCCTTAGGGTTATCGATCATTGGGAATGGGGATGCCTATATCACTGTAACAGCGACACATGTATATGCTGCCTTTTGATCTGGGGTGGGCACTCTGTTGGGGTAAATCTTAATATAAGGATAATATCCTACTTCAGGCGCCGTAATGTTTACTTGTAAACAGAGTGTAAGAACGACAAAAGGAATTGCCTTCTTAAGACACAACGCTCCTGATATTTGCGAATAAAAACAAAAAACTTTGGCTTTGATAACTTGGATTGTCCACCGTAAAGCTAAGAGGGAGTAATGAAGCTGCATTTAAAAAGAATTAACGAATGGAACAAAGAAAAAACAAATAAACAAAATAAATAAACCCATGAGTTGATTCCCGGGTTATGCATATTTTGATTTTTGTAATGTTGAATCCTACCTCGAGGGACGCACATCCTCTTGCCATAAATGCATTTGGTCTGGCAACAGGTCATTCCACTCTCCAAGCAATCGTCTATTGCAAGGATAGGAATAAAGCAGGTTGAGACAGCTTAGGGTCTCTAACATAGGGCACGATCCTGCAATCAGCCAATAAAACAGTTAATGAGAATTAACGTGTAATGAATGCCACACAATTGTTACCCTGGGTGCCAGGGTGCCAGGGTGCCAGAGATTTTTCATATGCGGTTTCGGTCTGCAGTCGACAGCGAACCGTTTAGTCGCACGAGAGAAAAAAATCCTCTGGTACCCAAGGTACAAAATTGTTTAAGGTAGAAAAATTGCTTGTAAAAAGTTGAATTTTTATGTTTCAGATGTCTATGGTCCTAGGTTTTCCACGTATTCGTAAATTGTGTCGTCTTCGTATTGTTCACAAAGATGGGTTAAGAGATATGCAACTAATAATATTTAAGGTATGCTGACCAAAATTTTTTAAAAAAATCACATTGTAAAAAGTATAAATAGTAGAATTTGTTTCACATACCTTGGTTTATAATAGGTTTTATCTTCATAAGCGATATCTTCTCTTGTTCGTTTAAATTTGATGAAAGGTCATTGGACACTAGTAAAAACAGACAGTGACGCTTCAAGGGTCTCGCTAAATATCTTTAAAAATGAAAACTTTCCTTAAGCACTACGAGGCTCAAATTTTTATTTGATTATAACAGACAATTTAAGCCCCGTGATGTAAGGGGATGATTTAACGACAGTTCGAAATTTTCAAAATTTACAAGCCAGATTTCTATGAAAAACCACTTAACCCTTGACTGGGTGCATAGAGTTGTTTCTCTGATACAAACCCTTCCAATTTTCGGCGGCCGTTGCAATCACTACTTTCGGGTATACGGTTGAAAATTTAATGGTAAGCAATTTTTACGTGCTTTTTCACTCCCCGCTAAGGAATGGAATTGTTTTCGAGTTTACGGAAAGTTGATCATGTAATTAACTATTGCAAAAGGCCTATTCCTCTGCAACACTTCATATAGCAATCTAATTGTGATTTTTTTTATTAAAGTACAGTAGATAGCGTAACAGGCGAAAACTTCTTCCATCTTGAATACGGCAAAAAAGGCGAAAAATTGATTGAAATAAGCTTGAAAACAAAAGAACAATTTTTTTTTACTCAGTGGCTAAAGGATGCCACGCGTGACAATGGAGACCACGCGGGACACTGAAATTCTGTAAAGAGACAGTACCGTGTAAAGATTCCAGAACTAGGAGTAGTTTGTAGTTTGCCAACAAAAAGTTAAGCTATTGTCAATCATGGAATAAACTTTAAGGACATCCTTAGGAAACGTAAAGTTTGTTGGGTCTAACCTGTTGAATTGTTAGCAGATGATTGTGTTTGATTAGCTGCAGTTTCATTCTTTGCAAAGCTGTTTGCTGTTTGAAATACAAATATATATCAAATATGTTATAATTTTCAGTGATAATCGGTGAGTATAGCCTACAGCACGCACAAGAAGGGTGTGCATACCATTTGTCTGAGAATAAGAGAGAATGAGCTGTTCTCTCTTGCTGAGAATCATCAGTCACTTACTGATGATTGATTTTGAAGATTTCTGAACAAACAGAAAATAACGATGATAATTAATACAGTTAAATGGAGTATTCAAACTTCAATTTTTTTCAAGTCAATTCGTCAAGTCAATTTCATTTAAATTCACACAGATTACTAATTTATAGAAATCAGTGCTTTTAAAATAAAAAAATAAAAAAATGCGAAGGAAAAGAATATTTTCAATTTTAGGTTATTTGTGCAGAGTTTGGGACACCTAAATAGTTCGTAGAACTAACCAAGTACGTAACCCCAAACAAGAATAAGAGTGGAAGGAATATAGCGGCAAAATGGTTCTTTTAGATAAAAAGTAAGTATTACCTCATTAATTAAATAGTAGTTAAAGGTAATATAATAATAACACTTCAGGAATTAAAACAGTATTATAACAATCAATCATAGAATTCGTGATATTTTGACGAAAACTGGAAAACAGTTTGATTTTGCTAATATCAATGGAAAAAGAAGGTTGGTACTAGTGTAACGGTGACGAATATTGAGTGGTATGAACCGATTTAGCAAACACATTATCATTCTGTGATTAACGTGTATAATAGGAATGAATGGAAGATACTGGATTAAAAAAATTAACAAAACCAGAAGGGCTTAATTTATGGTACCACTGATAAACAAAGGGGAGAATTTCAAGACACAGGAATACCCTTAAAAGGCACAGGAATACCCTTAAAATTTGATTTTTATTAATTTATGCATTTTGATTCAGAAATATTACAGACGATTGCCACACACCCCCACTCTCATAAACAAAATTTCATTAGTGTTCCATTGTAAATTCCATATTCCTATTAGCTGGTGTACTTTATTTAATGTAGATAGCGAGTAGAGAAAAATGCGGATATTTGTCAATAAATACTTCGAACATACATCGCCAGAAATTGCCTTTTTTTAGTTTACAATTGCAATAGTATACAACAAGAGAGTAGCTATCGGCTTTGATAGAAATATTCATAGAGTCATTTTATGTTTTATTTAAGATGTTTAACGTTTTCTCCTCAAGATATAGGCTACGCTATGCCATTAGCTAGTCAGATGAACAGAGGACCTGTCAGGTGATAATTTTCTTATTGCCCTAATAATGATTATACCTACCATTCATCTGAGACTCATCAGGAATGTCCGACAATGTCTCATTTTGGCTGCTTTCTGAAAATAAGAGTAGTCAGGTTTTTAGTAAGCAACAAGCTAAAAAATAAATTTGGAAGATAAAATTAACGTTGTGTGTCGCAGTATAACCGTTAATTTTGGATATGTTTTTCCGACTGCACATCATTCGCAGCTAAGTTACTTACCTTGACCAGTCTGGGGGATGGTTTGTTTCGCAATTTTATCATTTTGATTACCTAAAAATAAGTAAGAAGTGCAAATTTTTGTTTAGAGTACCACAAAACAGATGTAGCCTACAGTAAAGTAAAATAATGTTTATGTTGTCGTAAGTCATCATCATAATCTTCATTTTATGCCCCCACCACTGCTGCCACCGCCAACACCACAGTCGTCGTCATCGCCATCACCATCAATTTTCAAAGGTTATGTGAGTAAATTTTACAGTAAAATGCGTCTTACCTTTTGTCTCGTTCTGTTCTCCTCTATCTTGAGGAAGATTTTTGTTTTTCTCCTGTTATTGTTGAGTTGTCGGTGCTGTTTTTGCTACTTAGCGAGTCCTCGCCGCTCCCACTTTCATCAGAGTCGCCATTGAGTTGATTAAGGGCTATTAAGGATAAGAGCCGGAAAATACCGTTTTTTTCTAAAAAATCTCATAACAGTTCAATACAAAAGTTATTTATTCTACTTACCACTCTGTAGGCCGCTTGTAGGCCTAGTTATCACATCATCATCATCATCGATGTGTTCGTTATCTTGAATATTTATGACTTTTTTAAACAACTACCCAAAGATTAAAAATGTTGGTTGTTTTTTTTTTTCTAAGACGTGTCCAAACTAGGATTATAAGAATATTACAACTACTTAAAGACTGGGGAGTTCATTTTGTTTATTACGCCAGTTATGCTTCCTTATTCGCTATGAAACTTGAAAAAATACGGATGAATGACAAAACCACAGCTTGATGTCAAACAAATACGTCTCCGAAGCATTATATAAAACGTTCCCAAAAGGTCACAAACACCAAATATGATCTTTGAAAAACTGTTAGGCTAACAAGTTTTCAAAAACCACAATCGCCATCCGTTTGAATCTGCCTCGGCACGTTTAGCCTGCGTAGCAAGCGTTTCTGTGCGGTTTAGAAGCAAAGAACGAGGAACAAGAGTCAAAGACCGCGCGATGCGAAAAATGGCGCAAGTAAAAGAGCAAAACCGAAAATCCCATTCCTCGTTTTAAACGGAAACGCTTGCTACGCAGGCTACTGCACGTTTGTCCATCCGTGCATTCTTTTGACACAGCTCCTTTAATGTGCAACTTTTCTTCCCCGGAGTACTTTAACGCTTAAACTGTAATCTCATGACAAACGGTAATTAGAAGTTATACCAGGGCGTTACTCGTTGAGTGAAAAATAAATTTCGGTGTTCTATCATCCAGAAAATAATACTTTTAAACTGCAAAGACGCAAACTTAAAACATATCAAAAAGGAAATTGATAAATAAATAACATTTGAAAAAAGTAAAGGAAAATATTTCAGTAACGTTAAAACACAATTCCGATATAGGTTTAATAATCATCCTCTTGAAGCGTAACCATGGGTATCAAAATTTCGTCGCATTTATTTTTTATATTGATTATCGACTAGTTTCTTGGGCATCGCCGTAAATTAAGGTAATTTAGAGTTATTTACTTTCCAGAAAATGGACGAAGAAACGTTCCAATGTTAATAGTGACAGTAAACACTACATAAATGATGTTTATGGTGTAAAAATTACTTTTACTTTTTACCTCTCGTCAACACCAGCATCTATATGCTCCCCTTCCTCTTTTGAAACCACAGATTGAGATACAAATGATGTTAAAAAATTAATAAATATTGTGTAAATTTCATTTAACTCTGTCATTTGATAGCTAACGGAGTCACGTGAGCTGAGGAAGACGCGTGCGTGAATGTGCTCGAATGTGTTATTGGTTTTCCTGGTTTCCGTTTATATCTTTCGTCCTTTTGTGTTACCTGTTGTGTATTATGCCTCAGTTTTTTTACACATTATATTAGTCTCTCTTCGTAATCGTTATTTACTTTCATAATAAAGTCAGATATAACTCACATTCTGATCTCCCGGACAGATTGGTTGAAAAAGTATGCTTCATGAGAGTATAAAACATGGAGCTGAAGTTTTCACGCCAACTATCAATCACTCCATGAGGTGGTTTTCAAGACCAAAAGTTTCGCCGATTTCAGGGTTAAAAACACACCGTTAAAAGACGCAAATGGAAAGGGAAACTTCAAATGAATGCTCAGTTTTCTTTTTGTGGACTATAGAAAGCTTTTAGCTACGAAATTGTTTGTCGAGGAATTCAACGATGTTTTCTTCACGGCAGAGAGCAATTCAAAATGTCCTGTTCAGTGAAATTGCTGGTTTGCACGTGACGTCACGGCGGCCATGTTGGTGGTCAAGAACAAAAGCATTTCATCCACTGGGAACTAAAATCTATTTTCACATAAATTCTTCTGAGAAAAATTCTATTGTATTAACCCCCAACATGGCCGCCTTGTAAGGTGGCTGCAAGCCATTAATTCGATCAAGGCAGCCATTACGGAACGGCGCCTGTAGAACCGTGTCGCCCGCAAAATCGCGGTCCCATGACTATTTGCGCGGTCACAAAGGGAGCCGACACATGTCGCGTCCTTTGATTCAAGACTCAGTGTTAGCGTATTGTTTTCACGATACAAAGGTAATTTAACTTAAGAAAATCAACAGCTCGAAGCTTTCGCGCTACTCTCTGTAATGCAAACGCTCAACTTGATAAATACTTTGACTTCGTAAGATATTTTAATGATTAAGGCCAGCAGAATGCATAGAATGCCAGAAAACAATCAGGAAGTCAAACGGTTTTGAGCTGGGCTAGAAATTTTTTTTTTTCAGTATGCAAATCACCTACCCAATCACTTACTTTCGATCGAACTGAAATATCCTGACTTTTTTTACCACTTTTCGATTTGTTTCGTTTCATTTTATATTATTTTGTGCAAGCTGAGTTCTTTCATGCGAATTTACGCTTTCAAAAAGAAAAAAAAAACTTCGAGGAAACGTTGTGTTTACAACCATGGCAATTCGCGTCTACTTTGCTTCACTTACACTTATATGCAAGTTACTGTTCATCCGCCGGATTTCGCTGGAGACAAAAATGGCGATTTTGAATTCCCAAATGATTGCCTTTTTGGGCACCCTTTTTATTTTGGCTATCACGATTTTATAAGTTAAGCTTCAGACTTTTTATTCCAACATTTTAATGCAGGAAAGTTATGACAAATGCTGCAACTGATTAAAGTCACGCAACACGCTTTGACCGCATAACTTGATCTTACTGATATCTTTTTTTCTTCTATTGTCTCCGAAACAATAACGATGTTTCACCAATTTCCACCTACAAATAATAGGACACATTTGATTGACAGAAAAATTTGCATTTACTGGCGACGCGTTTCTGCAGGCGCGATTCCGTAATGGCAGTTTTTGCAGACTTTTCGGGTACATTTTTTACTCTATGGTCAACAAAATTAACGTTTTTGAAAGAGAATTTATGTATGTAAAAATATTTCATAAATGTTTTATACATTTTGTCATTGGCACTAAAGAAAATTTACAAAAAGCACCCCGGTTTGAGATGGATTTTGTGTTGAATTTTGCCTTGTGCGCATCTGATTTTACTCGCTTTTAAGGATTAACTACTTAGTTTTTGAATAAAAGTTTTCAAGAAATAACTGTCTATTGTTTTGAGTTTGTTCATTCATAACATTAGCTCGATCGCGCGACTGAAGCATCACTTCTGCGAAGACGTAGGCGAATTTTGTAGAATTTTCACTGTCAGGTTCAGTTTTTGTCCGAAAAACTGGCCGGATTTAAAAGCACTTTTTACCTTTAGAAACTGGCTTTTGGACGTAAAAAGTACATTTCTGCTGCATTTAAATTCACCTAACGTTTCGCTCGTTTTAAGATGTGAAAGCTTTGATGCTTTGACAGTTTTGACAGCTTTTGTCTTATTCAACCAATCAGATAATTTAGCGCATTCTAACATGTTCTAAAAAACATTGCGATTGGCTAATTTAAGCGTGGATAATGAGAGTGACTGTATCGTTCGCTTGAAAATAAAGTTTTGTTTTCGAAATTTAAGATAGCAATGCGTAGGCAATTTAACTCAAGAAGTAAGGAGAAACACTTCCCTACACTTTTTTCGTGTTCTAGCCGCTTCCTGCGAGCTTTACAACAGGACATAGCACAGTCAAGGCTTTTTTAATTGTTAAAGTAAACACTGTTTTATGTTAGTTTATTCTATTTATTGCATTGTAGTGTCTTTATTGGTGTTTAGTCCATCCACTAGCGGTGGCTTCGGTCTATTCTTTATAGTGAGCGGTGTGCCCACATTTGTCTAGCGCCCTCTCAAAATTCAAATGTTTGGCGGCCAAACATTCATGTTCGAATCCATTTTGAACCTATTTTCTCGTTGCGTGTCCACGGTTGGATCCAAACGACGGTATCACAGCTCGCGGGTGTGCGTAGTGGATGTTGCCGGAAGAGACAGTTGTCGTTTTTGTACAATAGGTTTTTGGTTGTTTATATACTGATGTAGCGAAGTCCTCAATTAGCAATTTCCGGCGAGTTGAAACCGGTTTCTCCCGGCGAACATCCACAAGCCAGGACCGTTTTGCTCTTCGGCAGCTACTATGGCCAGATTTTTCCACGAAGAAATCTTTTGACTCGTCGACGATAGTAATACCAAGTTTACACGTCATATCGCTTGCTGTGCGTGATCGGCAGTGAAATTAATTACCCACCAAGTTTAAAATCAGACACGACGCCACTCTTACCGACCAAGAAGGTGGCGTCCTTAAAATAACCACGCGCGCATATTGTAGACGCAAGTACGTGGAACTATTTACAACTCGGTTGAATAAACTTGTATCGGATCGAGTAAGAAACACAGCTAATCTTAAAAACGAATTATCCATAAATTGCAGAGTATGGCAGAGCAGAGTGGCAAAATGAGCGAATCGTGCAATCCGCTGTTTAGTGCATTCTGTGCCATCAGGAAGACCTGGTTGCACTTCAATACAGTCGTCAAAAACTCATCTGCCTGAAAATTCCCTATATTTGACGAATTAAAAAAAAGGCATTTTTACAGCCTATAATTTTCACCAGCTTCATTTTCATTCTAATTACCAGTTGTAATTATAACCTGTAACTCTTAACAGTGGTAAAAAAAAATTGGCACCACGGCTTTGAGCTGTGACATTTTAAATTGTGCCTGATATTGTTCTTGTATGTTTCTAAACCAGTCGTAGGGAATGGAATTCAGTTTTAACGTGAACCTTATTTCTGTAGACTTTTGGTTGTTTCAATCTGACGGCCCCTGAAACTTCTTGTTGCCCAGTCGAATTATTTCACTCCTTGGAAGGGCACAGAAATTTCTCTGAACTAACTCGTATTTGAAATCAAATTTTGATGGACCTAGAAATTTCTACTGCCCAATCGACCTTTTGTACTGCTTGGAAGGGCAGTAAAATTTCTGTGGGCTATCTTGTACAGGAAATAAATATTTGATAGCACAGAAATTTCTGCGCCCTGATAAATGTTTAAGTGAATAGCAAGGTCGCAGAAAATTTTGTGAGACCCTTAACAGGAGCTATTTTCGTGTAGAATTGTGGCGGTGTTAAACCGGCAAAATTTGATTACTTTTCCAGAAAACCAGACATTTGTAAATTTGACGTGGTAAAAAAGAAAAATTTGAGTGCATTTTTTCCATTTTTTATAGGAAGAGAAGTCGCTTAGCAATTTTTACGCATTTTCCCCTGTTTTGTACCGAAAACAACAACTTTAGAATATCCCACTCTATTTTAGAACGTGCTAAACCTCATGATGTTCTTCTGGTTAAAGAAACTAATCGTGGTATTTTCTACATTCATTGCTGCGGTCTTCCTCTATGAGTTACTGATCTCTTTCCCGAGCAAATCTTCCTATACTAAGAAGCTCTTTCAGGGACTTTCGACGAGAGAAAATCATCCTTTTCAATCTACAACAAATGCAATCGAAGTTGTCCAGGAGCCTGACGAGCAATTAATAATATTCATTACAAGTGCACCCTTTCAAAATGAAAGAAGACTATCCATACGACAAACATGGCTGTCTCTCTTGGTCAATAACACCATTGCGCGAGGACGATCGTCCATACGAACAATGAAAAACCCGTCTAACTCATCTAATAACTTGGTTATCCACTACTGGTTTGTTTGCGGACATGACACAAAAGTGGAGGTTGAATCCGCCGTGCGGAATGAAAGCGCCGTTTACGGGGATATCTTAAGGCTGAACTACACCGAAACATATTCATTGCTTGCCTTTAAGACTATGAGCTCTCTGTGGCTTGCTTCTACCATGGACGTTCAGTTTATCGTCAAAGTGGACGACGACGTATATTTGCACGTTCCTAAGATGATTTGGTGGCTGAAAACGTCCTCTTTACCTGACAAGCTATATGCTGGCGCCGTGCAAGGCGGGGTTAAATTAAAGGTTGTTAGAGATCCAACGCATAAATGGTTCATTAGTGAACAATTAATTAACGACTCTTGGTTCCCTCCATACTGTAACGGGCCCTTTTATATTTTATCTAAAAGCGCTCTTCTCGAATTACTTAAGGTCTCCTCAAATGAAGGCCTGCCGACACCTTTTCCTTTAGAAGACGCCTATATAGGAATATTGGCGAAAAGAGTTGGAATCGCGCCCTTACAGCTTAACGGAAAACATGTCCTCATTGCCGGGCCATGGGTGGGAATTGGTTTGGAAGATAAAGAACTTAACGGTTTCTTCGCATTGGGACATGGGTTGTCCATTGAACGAATGTTCAAACTTCATACAAGATTCGCTAACTTGAACTTAATTCAACTGTAAAGACAACTGACGAAAAGACAACGATTGCCATTTTCAGTAACACCTTTAAGTGTCAATAGCAAAATGATAATAATCGCCGATAGACATGATAACATGATTTTGAGTACTACAAAAAATAAATGTGCATGTGGTCCTTTATAATTTTCAAATAGTCATGGGCTCCTGAATAGGTAGATATTTGCTTATTCAAAATAGTTTTGTTCGTTGATTGAGAAGTAATAGAACTTGTAATTATTTCCATGCGGTTTTCACGTAATATATCAAACATGAGATGCAGTGTTTCATCACCAGATGAAACACCGAGAAGAGAGTTGAAAATACGACGCGCAGCGGAGTATTTTTGACGAACTTCGAGGTGTTTCATCTGGTGATGAAACACTGTGTCGAATGTTTGATATTTCTTCTCAAACAAAATCATTTTTGAAGGAGAAATTAAGGATGCAAATACTAAGCAGTGTTTCATCCGATTTCCAAACACTCATTAAACATTAATTTCCTTTGTATTTTCTTAATGAATTATTAATGAGTTTGAGAAGTAACTTATCAAACCTAGCGTATTGGTCAACTTAAAATGCAGGCATTCATTCATTTATTCAAATAAAGGAAACTAACACGAAAAAGAGGATAACATTTCAAAACGAAGGAAATTACCGTGAGGAAAGAAAGAGGCAAAACTTTTTGTGACGACAGGAACAAAATTTAAACGTAACTTACCCAAACTTCAAACAATGTTCGTGCTACTTTCACTTTAAACATAGGGGGTGAATATCCAGTAACAACCGGTTTGTTCTGCTAAAATGCACTTGTAATTCAACCATTGTTATAAACACGTAATTACACATAGTGAGTTTGCCGCCCTTGCTGAGAGTCCTAAAAAGACACAGAAACATCCTGTCCCGCCAGCTTAAACTTTATGATGCTGCTCGTAAGGATAATTAAATGAAATTTGTCCGGATATTTTGTTCGTTTGTTACCCCGTCCGTCCTTTATACGTTTAGCTCATTTTTTCCGGCACATCTTCATATTTTACAAAGCTGTTAGTCAGGAACGAGAAAAATAGATGATAGATTAGATTAGATAGATAGTTTATTGACCTTAAAAACTTGCAGCCAAAGGACTAAATTGCGATAAGGTTTAGAAATACAATAATTTAAAACCGTAATAATTTACGATTTTTAAGAAACGGACAACAACTTTAAGTTTAAAACAAGACATGTTTTGATCGTTCAACGATCAGCTTCAGTTGTGAATTCGTTTGTAAGTTCGGTTGAACTAATACAAACAATGACGTATAAGTTAAAACGTGATACAAATCAAAATTTCGAAAAATTAGCGTACAATTTTAAGATGCGCGAGACATGGAAAATCACTTGCGCGAGCACTACACTTAATACAAGGAAGAAAATTATAAAAATTGAAATAATTACAATGGTTATAACACGAAATGTTATGAGAACTAAAATATATATATATACATATATATAAAGTAAACTTAAAGAATAATATCAGAACGAGAGAGTTAAGTCAGCATGTTTCAGCTGCTTATTTAAAGTGGGATTCTCCCATTTGATGTTCATTGTTCCCAACATAAGTTGTAGTCTGTTGGGTGCATAATCCACGATGGAAAAGCAATTCTTATCAGCTAGACAACGTCATGCCTGGGATTGCTGCAAATGCTGATAAACGCGTGAATTCCTATCCCCGCTCAGATGCTCACTAACGCGCGTCGAGAGATGTCGGCTAGTCTCGCCGATGTCAGTAACAGGCATTACAACCTGCACACAAAAACTTGTAGACAACGCGCAACGGAGATCGAAAGGAACAGGTTCCTTCACACTAAACATACTACCAACCTTAAAAGAAGAAAAATAATTTACGGCTAATAAAAGACAGATGATTGTGCATAATTTACAATTCAAATTTAAAACGGTCACAAAATCACAAATTCAAAAGCACACGTCAAGTTCCTATCATACAATAGGGTTTTCCGATTTAACTGAAGTTCGAGCCATTTTTCCGAGATGTGAAATTGATTCCATTACTCTGTAAAAGGTCATCTCGATTTTTTTTCGTTATAACTAAATCTAAGTGGGCTCTTTCAGGTTCAGCGGAGCCAAGATCTAAAACACGCTTCCTCTGGACCTGAGGGGCGAGCATGATATTAATAAGTCTGCGTTTGGCCTAAAAAGTCACTTTAGATCCAGGCCTAACTGAGCCACTCTTACTTTTGATAGTGCTTAGTTGTACCATTTTTTATCTTTATTTGTTTTGTGTGTTGTTTTTCCTTTTTCTTCAGGGCCTCATTCAAACTAGCGTCGCTGAACTATAACCACCCCTGACTAAATATTGTTTAAAATAAAATAAATAAAATAACATCGGTGGCTGTCAAATTGTCAGTTTAACCTTCAACTTGGCTGTTATTGGTTTTCATTTCAAGTAATTTATAAAAATGAAAATAGGTAGAGATTTGTTGACACAATATTGCTCGGTTATTGTACGTTAACTGAACTTGTTGTAATTTACATATTAAAGCTTTCATACAAACGTTTTTTAGCGTGTATTTAACAATTATTCGCCTACAGCGAAGATAGTATTGTTTTTATTCTAATCATACTGAAACGATTATAAAACATTTTGTAACTACTCTAAATAATCACAAAGCACAGAATAGAATAAGAGCGGGCATCTCGTTTATTGATGAACCGAGCGTAGAGCGTTACAAAAAACAACGTTACAGTTTTACTCAAGGAAATTTCAACAGGAAATAAAATCAGAAAAAAATGAGGGTGAAAGAGATGCCTCGAATGGCTCTTGCATAGCTTAGCAAACCTTAAATAGTGTACTAGCCCCTTGGGATACCTTACAAGCACGCCTTAAATACTTCTGCTGAGTATTAAGCAACCTAATAAACATACTCTTGTGAAACTAACAAAACGTTACAAAATATGTTTGAATTCTAGTCACCCTGAAACGATTATGAAATATTTTGTAACTAATCTAAATAATCACAAAACACAGAAGCGGAGCGGGCATCTCGTTTATTTATGCCCGCGTTCGAAAATAAAGAAAGAGAAATGGCAAACTAAATATGTAAACTTTTATACACCGAGAGAAGAGATTCTAGCTTATCCTCAATATAACCGCCTTTGGCTTGATCCGTTTTCCACCACCTTCCATGACGCTTAAAAAGCCGATCGGTAACGCCTGCGTTAGCGGCCACTGAAGCACCTCCCTCTCTTAAACTGTGAAAAACAAATAAATTTTTCGGATAACCTAATTCAACAAACGCCTGTAAAACTGTTTCTCTGTAAGTAAAGGCGAGTAGCCTTATGAAAATACAAAAGAGCGAAAAATGGGTAACGAAGACGACAAATCTAAATTAGCAGCGTAGAAACGTATCCGTGAAGCAGATTGGAAGGGGAAGAACCGTACCCTGTTTTTGCCAACAAGACTAGGCACCATCCCTATAAACATCCGTTTTACTTTTGTTAACATAAATCTTGACAAGAGAATCGCAACAGCGTAGGCTAGCTAACTTATTATAACTAAGAGAAGCGGTATACACGGTTACGCAAATGGTTGCTAAACGAAGATCAGAAAGGCTAGCATTAGGACCGGCATACCTATTAGAAATACCTAAAAACATAGCGGGAGTAACGGGTTCTTTTTTTAGAAACAGGTTTCGCAAGATCTCTTTTAGCTGTCTCTAGTACGTTCTTAACCAATTTGGAATTGCAGGGACTGCGAAATTACAAATTATGCGCGCAATTAATACCAAAGCAAGCTGACTCAAGAGAAGAATAAGGGGAACCACCCTGAATCAGGTACTCTAAATGAAGAGCAACTGATATCTCGTCCGATGGCAGGCAAGCGACCTAGTTATAAGGTAAAGACTATTCCCTGAATTTCTGAAAACTCTCGACTAACGCTCCGTCGTCCAAAGGTGCGCAAGGTGTCCGGCTAACTTACGAAGCTCTAGATTCTTTTGATGAGCAATCTTCAATGCAAACGCACGTCCACCTTGTAGAAACATAAACATAATAAGAAAAAGAAAAAAGTCAACCAGCCAATACGGCTTACATACAGGCAGCTCAGTGGAGTGAAAACGTACAATCTTCATGTACCGGCAAAAACTAGTGCGTTCGTCGTTAAGTGGCCCAGTGACCCAGCGGCCCAGCGGCCCGGCGGCCTAGCGACCGATCGGCATTCAACTCCACAGCCACCTATACAGATTCCTCCTGTACAGCCCCGTCGGGCAACAGAAAAAGCACTGGGGTTCTAAAATATCAATTTTTGACTGTGCAATCATCATAATCAACAATCTTACTCGAATAATCTGTTCTCTCATTTTGTGTACGAGGTATCAACTCAACCTCAATGTCAACCTTATTGTCTTTGGCGGTCTGAATTCTGTCGAGCGCCAAGACATGCATGCAAATGCTCCTTCATACTTCCAGAATGAACAGTCGAAGGAACTGCTTGGTTATCAGTAGACCACTTAACATCGCAGCCTGAGAGAAGGTGTGAAAAACTTTTTAAGAGCAAAACTGACGCTGTGAATTCTCTCCACTAAGGCTCTGATTCGTCTGTAATGAATCTCAGTAAACATGTGAGACAGGCGTATCATCAATTGCAACTGAAGGCAGCTCAGCCAGTAGCAATAGAATCTGAATAAACAATTGGAGATGGCTTGCGAACAGTATTGAGAAACGACCTAGAATTCAGATTAGAAACGTTATCCTTCCAAAACTCTAAGTCTTTGCGAGCGCATGGGTCCAAATAAATGCAGGAATCCTACCCTTGCCTGCGATCGAGAGCCTTGTGTAGAGTTTTGGTCATCAGCTTACACACATTGCCAAAAACAAGCATATTAGAAATACTACTTCCGGTGACAGAGGCTTGCAGGTAATCTACTTTGAAGGAGCACCTTTTCAACACTCGTTCATAACCTGTCGATTTTTCCACAGGAAAAGATAAAAAAAATTATGCTTTGAATCCCA